GTTTGTCCCCTAACCCACTCTGCTCTCTTCTTGTCTCTTAAGGTTATACCTACCATTTTTCTTTCCCTTGCTCGCTGCATTGTCCTCAATTCAAGCTGAACCCTCTTTGTAAGTCTCCACGTTTCTGCACCGTAGCTAAGTACCGGCCAGATACAGCTGTTATATACCTTCCTCTTGCGGTATAATGGCAATGTACCTGTCATAATTTGAGAGTGCTTGCCAGATGTGCTCCACCCCATTCTTTTTCTTCTAGTTACTTCAATCTCGTGGTTTGGCTCCGCGGTTATTACCTGCCCTAAGTAGACATAGTCTTTACAACTTCAAGTGCACTATTACCCATCTTTAAGCGTTGCTCCTTTCCGAGGTTGTTGTACATTACTTTCGCTTTCTGCAGATTAATTTTAAGACCCACCTTTCTGCTCTCCTTGTCTAACTCCGTAATCATGAGTTGCAATTCGTCCCCTGAGTTACTCAGCAATGCAATGTCATCGGCGAAGCGCAGGTTACTAAGGTATTCTCCATTAACTCTTATCCCTAACTGTTCCCATTCTAGGCTTCTGAAAACCTCCTGTAAGCACGCGGTAAATAGCATTGGGGAGATTGCGCCCCCTGCCTTACACCCTTCTTGATTGGTATTCTGTTGCTTTCTTTATGAAGCACTATGGTAGCAGTTGATCCCCTGTAAATTTCTTCCAGAATGTTTACATATACTTCATCTACGCCCTGATTTCGCAGTGTCTTCATGACGGCTGATAATTCTACTGAATCAAATGCCTTCTCGTAATCTATGAAGGCTATGTATAGTGGATGGTTATACTCTGAGCATTTCTCTATTACCTGATTGATAGTATGAATGTGGTCAATTGTTGAGTAGCCTGTTCGAAATCCTGCTTGTTCCTTCGGTTGATTGAATTCTAATGTTTTCTTTACTGTGTTAGCAATTACTTTTGTAAATAGCTTGTATACTACAGAGAGCAAGTTGATTGGCCTGTGATTCTTTAAGTCCTTGTCATCTCCTTTCTTATGTATTAAGATGATATTAGCGTTCTTCCAAGACTCTGGTACTCTTCCAGTCAGGAGACACCTCGTAAACAGGGTGGAAAGTTTTTCTAACACAATCTGTCCTCCATCTTTCAGCAGATCTGATGTTACCTGATCCTCACCAGCAGCTTTGCCTCTTTGCATGCTCTCCAAAGCTTTTCTGACTTCTTTTATTATTATTGGTTGGGTGTCGTCTGGGTTACTGCTAGTTCTTATAGTATTAAGGTCGTGGTTGTCTCGGCTACTGTACAGATCTCTTTAAAACTTCTCCGCTATTTTAACTATCCTATCCATATTGGTAGTTATTTTGCCTTCTTTATCCCTTAGTTTATACATCCGACTTTTGCCTATCCCAAGTTTTCTCTTCACTGCTTTGACGCTTCCTCCGTTTTTCAGAGCGTATTCAATTCTCTCCATGATATACCTTCTTACATTGCATACCTTACGTCTAATAATCAACTTCGAAAGCTCTGCCAGTTCTATTTTGTCTGTGGTACTTGACACTTTCATGATTTGACGCTTCTTAATTAGGTTCTTTGTTTCCTGGGAAAGCTTGCCAGTGTCCTGTCTAACTACCCGGCCTCCAACTTCCACTGCACACTCCGTAATGATACTCGTCAGATTATCATTCATTGTATCTACGCTAAGGTTGGTTTCCTCACTAAGAGCCGAGTTCCTGTTCTGCAGCGACACTCTGAATCCCTTTACTTCCCGTCTCAGTGCTAGCTCATTGATTGGCTTCTTGCGTACCAGTTTCTGTCGTTCCTTCTTCGTGTCTATGCGAATTCGAGACCGTACCATTCTATGGTCACTGCATCGTACCTTGCCAACCACTTCCACATCCTGCACAATTCCTGGATGTGCACTCATTATAAAGTCTATTTCGTTCTTATTTTCGCCATTAGCGCTCCTCCATGTCCATTTGCGGTTTTCTCGTTTTCGGTAGAAGGTATTCAAAATCCGTTAATTATTGCGTTCTGCAAATTCTACTAGTAGCTCTCCTCTGGCGTTTCTAGTGCCGATGCCATAATCTCCTACTGTCTGGTCTCCAGCCTGCTGCTTCCCTCCCTTTGCATTAAAGTCTCCCATCAGTATAGTATACTTTGTTTTTACTTTACTCATTGCCGATTCCACGTCTTCATAAAAGCTTTCAACTGAAGTGTCATCATGGCTGGATGTAGGCGCGTAAGCCAGTACCACCTTCATCTTGTGTCCTTTATTCAGTTTTATTACGATACCTACCACCCTTTCATTAATGCTATAGTATTCCTCTATGTTGCCAGCTATGTTTCTGTGAATTGTGAACCCCACTTCCAGTTTTCTTCTGTCTGCCAAGCCCGATAGCAAAGGACGTGCCCATTCTGTAGCACAGTATAGGCCTCATCTGTCCTCCTAACCTCACTGAGCCCTATTATATCCCATTTAACACCCTCTAGCTTCTCGAATAGTACAGCTAGACTTCCCTCACTAGATAAGGTTCTAGCGTTAAACGTTGCCAAGTTCAGGTTCCAATGGCGGCCTGTCCGGATCCAGAGATTCTTAGCACCCTCTGCTGCGTTGCAGATCTGACCACCGCCGTGGTCAGTTGCTTCGCAGCTGCTGGGGACTGAGGGCCGTGAGTTATTTGACGTATGCATGTGGGAGGTAGTGACCAGATACTGCACCAGAGTGGCCAATCCTTCTCTGGTGAGGGAGTGCGTTCCCGGCGGTGGTTACCGGTGAGGCCGCACCCCAGGCCTCTTATTGCAGTTCCATCAACACGCGGATTTTTTTAAAAAATCCGGTTGGAAAACGAGTATGAGTCATATTGATGTAATTTTTTCTCAAATGCTTGCAGTGGAGCCAACATTACCTTTAGAGGCCTTATTGGCAGCAACAAGATGCAGAGACCTCGAGCAATTCACACACACGCAGTCATTATACTAGAAGCTTTGATGCCACGTTTCAATCGCTGTACATTCTGCATCATCCCCAGCAGCGCTTGTTCAACTGTGTGCTCTTAACGTTGCATCATCAACATCCGATAGTCACTAATCACCCAAAACAATTCACCTGTGTATATAGGTACTGAATCTTGATCCACAAGGTAGTGTTGGTGTAAGATTGCTCTTTTGCGTTGTTGAACAATCAAAATTCTCATCCTGCATGTGAACTAAAAATGGACTGCTGGTTCCTGTGTCCAATGAGAGCCGTATGTCCCTCATTGCCCATTAGCAGCGATTGGTATGTTACAGCAGGAAACAGCGGTCTATCACTGCGTGCTTTGCGCTTTCCCAGGTTTCTCTCCTGTGCTACGCCGCGATGAGTGCTTGCGTCAACGCCGTAGCCCCTGTAGGCGTTAGCGCCCGCTGCCTCGCATCCACACATGGTTTCTCTATAGGAGGAGATGGTGTAATATTTTCAATATCACACCGAAAATTCAATTGCTTCGCGATGCTGCTCGTCACTTGTTTCATTTTGTTTACGGACTAATGAAAGGCTGCCTTGTCTCATCTCCAGCGCTTCTGTAAATTGTAAATTGTAAATGTAAATTATCTGCTCACTACACTAAATTTGCAAGATACTTCCTTTTGTTGTATTTGATCTGGTATTTATTGCTCATCAATCAGGCCAGACCAAGTGCAGATTTTAGGCAAAAATACTTGTAGTTGTGGTAAATTTCGAAGCTTATTTTCTGTGTTACAATGTTGTGACTTTCTTCACATCCACGAAACTTTGGACATGTGTCATCCATTCGGCAAGAACACTAGACTTCGAATGAAATAGTATATATCCAGAAAAAATAAAAATATACGTCTTCGTGGAGCTTGAGTGCAGTCCCTCGAGGGTTATATTGTCCATGGCTCTCGCTTCGTGCAATTAACCGAGTGCCTGGCAGTAACTTTTCGATGATACATAGTTCAGTTCCTAAGTGAATGGTTATATGCGTGGATGTTACTGAGAGAGTCAATAAAAACTTTATAAATTTCTCTTCCAACCGGAATAAAACCCGAGCGTAGAACAAAATTTGATGATTCAGTATGGTTGAAATGAGGGCTTGTTAGTACACACCGTCGACGAAAAGGGCGCTGGATGAACAGCAACACTTTCATCTAGTGTCCTGTCAGTTATGAGACGGGATGAAGAACTGTAGTTTACGACGAATTTATATTCAAGTGCATATGTCATGCGGTGCTTCTTTGTTTTCAGATAATTTGAGCAAGCGATTGCTGAAATAAGCGCTATACATTTTAACTTAACCCGTCTTGTGTGTCCTCTTTCTGTGTCTGTTCATCCTGTGCTATTTTCATTCACAATCGAGCCAAACTGGCACTGAACCTGACCAAGAGCTGTAGTTTTTTTGTTGTTCAGGACCTCGTTGCACGACCCTATCAGTTTCTGGGCCACTTGCTGCGATTGCCTCCCCCAACGCCACCCACGTTCCGCGTGGTTTGCTGTCCCGGTTACGTCCTCATATACTGGCAAATATTTTCGATATTTTCACAGATCACTTTCTTGAATCATCCAACCATCCGCACCCACTTTTCGTTCTTCCGGATTCGCTCAAACATAGCGCGTGCATAAGGACGCACAATCGATGCAACCATGCGTTCATATCAGGTGGTGGTGCCTTGCGGGCGGGCTTGAGCTCAGATCGAAGGGCCTTCGTGGCGTACTGTCGCACTTTGTGCTAGCGAACGTGAGCTTTTGTTTCCGCTTTTATCTCTTTAGAGAGCAGCAGAGCACGGACCACGGAAACGCCCTGCATTGCGATCCAGTGACACGGTAGCAGCCGTTCTATACTTTCCTCTTTCTGCGTTTGCTTTTATTGCAACTCTTACAGCGCTAGTGTGATAACGTCTCCAAGTATACGTGACAAAAGCCCTACCCCGAAAAACGCGTGTTTGGTGCTCGTGCAGCCAGCCAGTCGCCGGTATAAAAGAGATGCAGCACTGGCGGGGAAGCTAAGGTATCGACTCTGCACTGGTAGTAGCAGCAGACGTGCAAGCAGCCACAGCATCCGGAGCCATGAACGCCCTGGTAAGTGCGATTCCTTGAAATATCAGAAGCATACATCCTGGTATTCAAACTAGTTTCCACGCCGTGGTGGTATAGTGGGTACGGCACTCGACTGCTAACCAGAAGGTTGCGGGAACGAATCCGTGTTGCGGCTGCAGCAATTCCGATGGAGGCGAAAATGCTTGAGGCCAGTGTGCTTAGATTTAGGCGCACATTCAAAAGCCCCAAGTGGTTGAAATTTTTGTAGGTCTCCACTACTTCACCTCGCATGAACATATCTAGGTTTTAAGAGTTTAAAACTCCGTTGTAATATTAAAAATGTTTAAGTGTTTTGGGCACATGCATTCTGGACGCATAAAGCGTCCTTTGGCAAGTAATAGAAACGCGTCATGTGGTTGTGCTTATGATGCAGATATCTTCATTTAGTGAAGAGTATAGTGAAAAGTATATAAAGAGAATTCTATGCAACCACCTCAATTTTTGTGCAAAAGATTGCTGCGAAGTGTTTCGCACTAACTGTGGCTTGATTTTTTCACATTCGTCCACGCGTTTTGTTGTTAAGCAAGAAAACTCGAGTGTGGCGCACATATCTAAAACTTGCGAGAATTGTCGCTGTTACAGTGTATGCAATCAAATGTAATTTCGCCGTGCAACAGTAAAATGTACACTTTAAACGCATAGCTTATGTTGGTGAGTGGCAGAAAACATGCTCGCACTCTAAAAAGAAGTGGCAACTGTGCTAAGCAGCAGTTTCCTTCTACACTGTGGCACACATCCTTCCCAAGATTTCTAAATTGTTCCTAAATGCGTGCATTGTAGCGCCGTGTTACATTCATACGCGTGGCTTGTATTCGGATGACTGTCGACAGTACCCAGAAATTTGTAAATGGTTGCCAAATATTTTCAACTCGGTGAAATTTTGTGTTCTTTCCTTTGCCTCATGATCGTGTTTCACGTGTTGCTTCAAAATTAGAAAAAAAAACAGATCGTTGTAGTTGTTTCTTTGCCAGGTTAAAAAAAAAGCATAATGATTAGCCACATCTGCATCCTCGTATGCGTTCGTTTGACGCATTCAACACATGATGGTTGAGAGAACTGGAAGCGCGGGGGTAAACACAGACACAAAACAAAGAGGGGGCACAAAGCATGAGCGCTCAACTAACAACTGGTTTATTCTCACGTTCGATGCACATATAGGTACACAAGGATGCGCATGTCAACAGCAATACAATTATAGTGTGAGTAGCAAGCCTGGCGTTCATTCGAAGCACTTGTCTACGAATTATCAATATAGTTAAACTCACAGTCAAGTAGTGATAATGACGGATGGCTAATACGATGATTCTTATTTCTAAAATAAACCAGATGTTAGTTGAGCGCTCGTGCTGCGTGCCTCCTCTTTGCTTTGTGTGTGTTTACCCCCACGCTCCTAGTTCGCTGAACCATCATGAATTACCAACTAGCCCACATTTCAATTTTATTGCATTCAACACAATCACAAGAGGTCGACGCATTAAACACAATCTGAAATTACGTTACTGAAAGCAATGAAAATCATCTTTCGCGTACGTTCCTGGCCAGGATAGGTAAGTTGCCTCCCCAAAAGTGTTTAAATAATAATGCAATAGCTTTAAAGGGCTCAATTAAGAGAAATTCTGACAACGGCGTCAGTGTCGTTGCAGGCATCGTTGGTTGTGAGCAACAAATTATCTTGTTCATGAATAATAAATTCAGAACTATGCACATAGAAAACGTATAAAAGTTTCCGTGTCCGAAACGAGCAGTGAAACCAGTTCGGTTGCGTAACAAGAAGGTGCTCAACCACACAGCGACGCAATTTCTTAGAAATAAAGTGGTAGAAAAAGCAGCAAGAATAACTTTCATGCTTTAAAAACACACGGGACTTGCATACATGTGTCACCGCAATAATACTGCCTCGTACAAGCGTACAGTCATGGCCACGTCGATGTGGAGCACGCGAGCAGCCGTTTTTCACTCTGTGGGGCAAAACCTTGAGTAAGTATTAGGCTCTGACGTGATCAGCCTGACAAATAGGCCACACATGCTCCTGTTCAGAGCTCGAAACTGTATCAGAGTTTTGACCCGAAGAGGCAAACCCGGATTCTCGCGCGCTCTACACAGATGTGGCCGCGTCTGTACATTGCCTTCGGACGTTAGAGAATGTGATTTTCAATACGACTTCATTGTTTACTGTCGGCACCTCGTTAGGAGAAGGCAAATAAGTTACTGTGCGGATTACTGTAAGAGCACGTAGTGGGTACGCATAGCAGGTTCGAAAACATCTAACGCGCATAGCTGCTCGTGGTTTAACGGATGCCACCCAATTCATAGAATGCAGCAGTTTGCGAAATTTTCACTGAATCAAGCCAATTTCAACTATATCGATTGCAATAATGTAATTTACAATACAAGCGTCCTTAACATCGTATAATAAAGGCCCCGCCGCGGTGGTCTAGTGGCTAAGGTACTCGGCTGCTGACCCGCAGGGCGCGGGTTCGAATCTCGGCTGCGGCGGCTGCATTTCCGATGGAGGCGGAAATGTTGTAGGCCCATGTGCTCAGATTTGGGTGCACGTTAAAGAACCCCACGTGGTCTAAATTTCCGTAGCCCTCCACTACGGCGTCTCTCATAATCATATAGTGGTTTTGGGACGTTAAACCCCACATATCAATCAATCATCGTATAATAAAGAATTTATAGACTAAGTGTTTAAAGTCCGCACCTTGAACAACATATGGCTATCACATTCATATGTTAAAGGCGAAGCTTGTGCGTTCCCCCCTCCTCCATATTCTAATTTATTTATAGAGAAGGCTGAGCAATACTGCGAAGTGTTATCAGTTGATTTATCATTTTTTACTACCTAGTCTTCAGCAAATTGTTTCAGAGTGAGCAGCAGCTATTATATTTGATAGCGTGCTTCAAATACAACGATGTGCAAAAAAGTACTGGCAAATCTTGATTATTAAAATATATCTGCCACGTATTTAAAATACAAAAGAGCCAATATTATTAATATCTAGCGCTTAACACCCAGAAGCCAAGACAGGACAATGAAACACGCCATAGCGGCAAGCTCTGCAAATTTCGACCACCTGTTGTTTTTTAACGCGCACTGCCATCGTATAGTGCTCGGGCCTCTCAAATTTCGTCTTCCATTGAAACAGTGTTCCCGCGGCCGGAATCAAACGAGCGACCTTCGAGTCAGCAGCCGGAGCTGGGAGAGACAAGCAGAATACCTGATAAGAGGCCACATTGAACGGATTCAGTTGGCTATATTCGAAAATCTGCATGCGAAGAGTGCGAAGCAGGTGCAAGTTATCTCCCAACACTATATAGGAAATGTAGTATTTTGCTGGACTATATAAAAAATCACTGACTATTCTATACACACACCGAAAAGAAGCCCACTGGCTGAAACAGGATTAACGTTCACTCATGAACTATCTCAAGACAATGATTTACAATCTTGAAACTTGAAGCAGTGGCTAAACATTACTAATTCGCGCCTACTGTGCAGCGTACGTGGTGTAACCGAGCTCCTGCCTTGTGAACAAGCTCAAATTGTGCATCATGCGTGGGGGCGGCTCGTACTTGGCTTATAATACATTTCGTGAACCTTGCCACCGCAATGTCAGACGCTGCTGTCCACCAAGTTATGCTTTCTTTCGATAGTAATATTAGAGCTACAGTTGACGAACTTCTCCGGGTTAGCATTTTACATCATCGCAACAGTCACCAACTTGAGCTGCCTGGAGAGGTGTTGCCATTCAGCAACATAACGCGCAACGAGGAGAGCACATGAATGAGCAGCTGTGTCCTACTTCATCCCAGAGAAATTGTGGTTCTAGGTGGTCTCCGAATGCGTCTTAATCGGAGCTGTTGGACGATGTTGTGCACGCCGAACAATAGGTTGCAAATATAGTAAGACTATAGAGCATAGTGCAGTTCTGGAAAGCGGCGCAGCATCAGTGTGCCGAAAATGTAGCCAAGACAAGGTCTAGCCGCTCGTGCCACTGCAAGCGGTAGCCAGCAATAAGTTGTCATTTAAGGGTTCCGCGCTGTACCACGAAAGTTTTAAAACAGAAAGGGAAAACAATACTGCCACAAAGGCACCAAGAATAAGAGTCCATCATTTAAAGCCGTGATTCGGACTAGCGCTGTTTGAGTGGGAAGCCGACATTCTAATACTCTACTACTTTACCACTTCGGTGGCGCTGCGCACAACTCCTAAATGACGAGAGGATGCAGGCTACCGAACACAGAGCAGAAGCGTCTAGATCCTATTGAGGCTTCATTTTTCGAAGCTTGTTTCGAGCTTGTGTTAGTGCACTCTAGTACGGCTGTTGCGGCGTAGACACCATTATACTGAGCGTCTGCTAATCGCTGCTTTCATTGCTTACATACTCTGCATTAACGGGACCGAAAGTTTAGCTCAATTTCCAGTTTTTGTTGATTGATATAGTGGGTGTACCGTCCTGAAACCACCGTATGATTATAAGGAACGCCTTTTTAGAGGTCTCTGGAAGTTTTTACTACCTGGGTTCTTTCACGTGTATCGAAAGCTAGGCACACGGGCCTACAGCATTTTCGCCTCCATCGATAATGCAGCTGCCGCAAGCAGGGATACGATCCCGCGACCTGTGGGTCATCAGCCGAGTACCTTAGCCGCTAGATCACTCCAGTGGCGATTTGCGGTTTTGCTAGCTTTTGTGTCCCAAGAGGAAGGTACTGCTAGGTTAAGTTTCTGTTTCTGTGTTACGTTCCATGCGTATTTAAAATTGTTCCCTAGTTTGCCGAGTGTTTTGGTTATCAGGCCCATGAAAGAGCATATCCGTACATAGAATTAACATTATCTTAGCATGGTAAAAAAATAACCGTAGTTGGCCATTCAGAAACTGCTCTATATAAATGCCATCACTGGACAGTTGGCCTCGTGTCTTGATCAATGCACCCGCAACTAAGTATTATAGGCGGCTGATGAACGCAAAAGGGAGTAATACTATGACCAGCGTCCGACAAGTTCATAACAGTGTACCGTTGACAAAAAAAAAAGATAGCTCAGTGGATGTATCCTCTGAAAGAGGAATGAGTAGTGCTCTCTTCAAAGCCCCATGCACCGCATCATGGACAATACGATTCAACCAACTTCACTCCACGGACATCGCTTTCTCTGTTATTGTGTGAGGCATTTTTTGTTTATTCATATTTTTTCTGGTCGCGCGTGATAGCTTCCATCTCTGACAGTCAACTACCGACCAGCGAAAAAGTATTTCTCGTGACATGACTATTACACCACATCGGTAGATGTGATCCCAATGTTCTGACTTAGCTGCCAATGTGGCAAGGAATTGATTTCATAATTCAATACTGTCTGACGACATCCCTGTACCAAATAGTTTTCTGGTATAAGAACCACAACAATCGCACCTTATCACGCCCGCATTAAATTATATTTTTCATTTGGGCATTGCTCTTATAGGCTATTTATCTTTGCATCACAAAGCACGATACGTCACACAATCATCCTTTAGGATCCTATATCATTAAAAAAATTGTCACAAAGTTGCAAGCTCAAACCAGTTTTGCGCTCATAAGCCTGCTTTTTCAGCGTCTTTTTTTTCTTTTCGAAGATAGAGCCCTTTAGCCAACATATTGTTGGTGGCCGTTCCATATAATTGATGCAGGACTGTCATAGCGTATCATAATACTGTTTTGAATTGTATTTGAGTACTACGTTTCTCTGAAATGCGATATTAAACATTGTTCTACTCTGTGCAGAGCATCGCCCTCGTTCTCTGTGCCGCCCTGGCCAGTGCTATGGCTGGCGGAGTGCTTGGTGGTTATGGCCTCGGCTACGGTCTGGGCGGCTACGGTCTTGGCGGCTACGGCCTCGGCGGCTACGGTCTCGGTGGCTACGGTTATGGTGGCCTAGGCTACGGAGGACTAGGTTACGGTGGCTATGGCCTCGGGGGAGGTTACGGCCTGAGTGGTGTCGGTGTCGGCAGCAGCGTGGCACTCCTGAGTGGGGGACCTGCCTTTGCCAAGGCTGTGGCTGGACCAGCCTTCCTGGTGAGAACGGTTCACCACGTCAACAAGGTCAGCGGCGGTGGAGCCCTCCTCGCCCACTCTGGCCTCGGTGGAGGATATGGATACGGTGGTCTCGGCTACGGTGGTCTCGGATATGGTGGTCTTGGATATGGTGGTTATGGTGGATACGGATACGGCGGCTACAGCTACAAGGGATAAATTCGATACATTTGTTTATTACTCCTTTACAGGGTACGCTGTGAATTTATCTTAGTTTAACGTACCCTGTTTTTTTTCGTACGCGCGGAGCTACGCAGCACCAGGTTGCCCGAATTTTAAGCATGCGTCAAGTGTGTCGGTCTTTGGCCACTTAAGCATACTTTGCTTAGCTCGCAGTTGTGATCCTCATTCGCTTCAAGTTGCGTTCGCAGAAGTTCTAGCGTCATGTTGTAAAAACTGTTATGACAGCGTCAACAGTGACCGATCAGCCAGATAAATCCACAGCGAAAAATTCCTCAATGCCATCGTATCGCCTAAGGTCCCGTTGCGTGCTGCTGTTATCATTTGTATATTTCTGTTGCATAGACATCTCAATGTGGCACACTAGCTGTTCGATCAAAGAAATTTGTACAGAAGGCCGCTTACGGGCTGTTTGCATTGTCTTCATGCTTCAGAATAAATGTCACTCGAATCGAATCGCTGGCCATGTCTCGTGATTTATATTGCTAACAACTTCATCTTTTCCTTCCTTCTGCTTTCAACCACGTATACGAGTAATGTTCTATATATTCGATGGGTAATACTCAAGTAGCGAGGCAAAGAAGTGCGATATTAAAGTGCAAAAAATAATTTTGACAAAACTGGTAACCAGGTACTTGAGTGAGATTTGCACTGTCAGATGCAATATGACTATCAACAAGCATAATTATTAAACCAGGCACTTGAGGGAGATTTGCACTGTGACATGCAATATGATTATTAAGAAGCATAATTAGTGAAATGCTCAGTATTGCACACTACGTAGGTAGATATTGAATACGAATGGTAGCTGATGTGTGAATACCGCACACAGCGAAAAATATATCATGAAATTCTTTACGCAAAGAGGTCTCGACAAAGAAACGTTGGCTCTATTAAGTGTAACCGAAATATTTATATATTTACTCATTCATTGAATCATTTACAAAAATACACCTGTAGCACCATGAAGGCAATCTATAGAGAGGGCAACGCGCAATAAAAGGAAGATTATTCTTTTAAAAAGGTCAAAAATACATGAGTACACCCCTGCCAATTTGAACCATATCACTTAGTGGTACGCACGTGATAGGGTGGTTTGTATTGTTATCGTGAAGTGATGAAATTAGGCTTCGACACGAACACGCACAAAACACCGTGAGCTACGAGCATCGTCTGATACGGCGTTTTCCTAATTATGAATTCATCTAATCACTAAGCACGGCATCAACCTACATAGTGAAGCAAATCGCAAAAACACTGAAGCATAAGCGCGTGCACGCTTTGTGCGGCCAAGTGAAAGTGTCCTCGGCTTTGTTGTTCCGCTAGACCCATTTGATTTCTGTAGCTTTTGCTGCTTTATTGGTTCTTTTCTTTTATTGCGATACCAATTACATGAATAGTCTTGACGGTTCTTCATATCGCCATTGCTGTCATCGTCGGCATCATGTCATAATAAAGACAAAATTGACGATACCCCCCAGCAGATCGTATGACCGTAGCTGAAGCAGAGATCAAACAAGCTGGCCAATTTCAGCCTTTTCGAGATGCGTGCCATAACATTTCCCGCCTGTTATGGCAACTTTCGCTGGTCGAGCTGGGGCAGGTTCCTGGATCCACGGCGAAGAATCTGGATTCCATTGGTATATTCGGAGCAAGTCCATATTTTCCACTGCCACATTCGGAGCTGCTCACTCTGCGAAGGAGTGATCTGCGTTGCTCCATTTCGCAGACGCAGATTTTGTCAGAACTGCATCTGCCGGGATTTCCGGTACAGTCGGGAAATGTTTTTGTCTTCGGCGTTTTTTTTCTTGTTTTTGAGGTGCTGTCTGATTCTTCAGTGACTTTCGTGCACTCGCAAAACAGCGTTGTTTATAGCTAGCAGGAGGCTTGCTCCTTGCTCTCAGATATAGCGAGAGCACAAGTTCTGCTAGAAATAGAAGCAGCAGCAATGGCGACGAGCCGTGCGTGCTTTACGAAATAGCTTTCAAAGAAATGTTTCCTGACCCGATGAACGCACGCACAAAGATCAACAGCTGTAGCGAAGAAGTACCGACTTGCGTGATGTATTCATAAATATGAGAAGTTCCGGAGTTACCTCACGCTGAGCACTCACGTGTTTAATTGGCAGATTCAGCATGCTGCAATGCGAGTGCTCGCTGAAGGATTTCGGTGGCTTTCGGTAGACCTGTCATTTAATGCTCAAATAGAGGTAACACCTGATCCGTCTTTCACGAGCGTGAAATAACGTCTAGCCGCAAGTATGACTTCACTTTTTATGAGTGCGCATTATCTGCCCATCTGGACAGCCGTCAGCGGTTGTCTCGTATAAATATAAGAACTTGCTGTTAGGCGAGTCGGCGGTTACGTAACATGTAGAGTTATTGCATATGCTACTTTTAGGTAGCAGAGCTGTGCATAGGTTCACCATCTTGCTTGCTGACATCCATGTCATGCAAAACAGTACCCTTGTAGGAGCTGACGCAGCCCAGCGGCTTTGTACGTTTTCTCGCTCGTCCATAACCCGTCCGTGGTACATTAGCTTTCTCTTCGAGAAAAAATGAAAAAACATTATTAACTAATGGTCTTAAATATTCAGTTTGTTTGACGGCAGTTCCCATGAGAAGATACCTTTGTTTTAAATAGCAAACAAAAAAGCCATGACTTAATTTGTCGAGCATTGTGTACACAATTCGCAACAACTTGAGTTCCGCAAATCGCACATTTCACGTAGTTTTTTTTTTCAGTGTTAGCTATTTAGGCAAAGCCCTAAAACGACGCTCGCTAAAACTATATCTCCATGCTATACGAATACCATAAGCAAACGCCAATTTTCGGCATATTTATACGTAAATGTGGAATCCTGTCACCGTGGAAACTATGTAGCACTGAGTCACGGCACTGCGCCACACAGGCGCTGCACCGTTTCCAAAGGTTCGCCCACAAGGCACGTGCCCCGGCCCCCACAAATTTTTCGACATGGCATAGAGAGCGAAAAATGACCCTTTCAATGGGGTGCCCCTCCCGGAATCAACGAGGTGCCCCCCCACCCTGCCATCCAAAAAAAAAACTTTTTTTCAGGATACGCGCCTGACAGACACCACTAACTCTGAAATTCTCTAAAAACAGACAACACAAGACACAGTCACAACACCAACGAAGAAGTACCTCCGCAATCAGCGGGAGTGCCTCACCGGACTGCTTGGACAGCGGTGGTGGTGGCGCCGCACCCGCACGGCCGTACATTTGGCTTTCCCTAAATTTGACGTTTCTCGCGCACGCGAGTGCGCTTGGTTAATGGGGGGGCAAGCGGCGAGTTCTCTATCAGTAGCGCAACTCTGCTACCTAAAGGTAGCCTATGCAGTAACTCCGGTAACTTGGTAATTTTTGCAGCACACAAAGACGTACACTTGTGAGACACAGACAACAGAGAGGTGCTACTAAAAGCTGAAATATTTCAAAGTAGCAAAAAAGATTAGTACAATTGTACGAAGACGAAGTCAGCACGTATCGCTGCGACGCCGCTTATCAGGCTCGCAAGTGTACGTCTTTTGCAGCACTATAATCACCATGGTATGTCTCATATACCGTTCTATGTGGTACACTCCCAACGCGAAGAGACGGTGCAGAAAGTGTGCCTGGAGCAGCCGTGCACCCTTACGCCAACCAGTGTTTTGTAGAGTAACGTGATTTTGCATCCAAAGAAGGTAGCAGCCTCTCTCACTTCATCTAACATTACAATGTGTTGATATCACCATTACTACGCCACCCTCCCGATGAAACTGCGAATACTTTCTAATCATATCATGCACGGGCACGTGCAAAGCATCAGTGTCAAGGAGACCGAGACAGGTTTTTTTATGCCACTTGTGTTGACACTCATTTTTGGGATACATCACCTTTTTAAGTAGACAGGAAATTATCTGCATGGCGCCCTCCTAAGCATGAAGGATACGTTGACGTCCCAGCATAAGGTGAGAAATAACTCATCTGTGATGTGAATCAGCTTTACGTTAGTTGTTAGATATGCATCCTGTAGTGTTTAAAGAACCCAGAGAGAGATAGAGTAACTGGTATGACGCTGCAAAGGACCACACACTGATACACTGTAGAAACATTAGGTAAAAAGGGAACCATTGTCAACAGAATGCTGCAGGCGTTGAGAGACGAGGGGCGCAGCGACGATGGGGCGAAAAACTCTGGGTTAAAAACGACCTACCCTGAGGACCATGCATTGGTGCTGTCGCACTGTGATTCGTTCATCACAGCCAGTCAGGTCAGAGGTGCGATATACCTCGACATCAACACAGTACTGGAGACAACGGCTCCTTGATGGTGGTTTCAACAATAAATGTGCTGCGAGGAAGCCACTCCTTTCTAATGAGGTAAGTCGAAAAGACTGGCGCTCTCTCAAGTCAATCGACTGGTCTGTCGATGACTCGAAAGATGTGTTTTTTCGCGTACCAGTCTGTGTTTTGCACCCAGACTAGCCAAAAGCGGAAGGTGTACTGACCGGACCTCATGAGGTGCGCCCTATATTTCAGCCTTTTACCAAGGGGATTTTTGGTAGTTTCCTTATCCCTCCCACTGTATTGGTCTGCCTTTTTAATTAGCTACATAAACTCAAGTCCCGATGATTACTATCAATATTATGCGAAGTAATTGATCTAAAGTTTTGTTGGTGTAACCCCACGACGCTCCATGATTCAGGGACAGTGGGCTTTCGGAGCCTGAATGTTTGGAGCATGGTAATCAAAGATCATCTCGTACCTTTAAAAAAAGTGGCGAACGAATGTGCAGTGGAGCATGCATATTTCGTAATCAATTACACTTTTCTTTCTTCCTATCCAGTGTCCCTTGTACAGTTGCCAAAACAATGAACCCAGAATAGCCCAAAGATTTTCAGTCTTAAGTTTTATTTGATAATCGCATTGCTACCTGTGGGCTGGATATTTTCTTCCAGTCGGTCGCTACTTCCTTCAACATAACTTGTTGTTTGTCCACTCGTCGCGGGTTGTGCGAGCGCACCTGGCCGGACTTCTCTTATAAATATAACTTTTGTGTGGTTGTTGAAGTACCTTTGATCAATTATTGAATCGTCCAACTTTCTGTGTATTGTTAAGATGAATTGAAGTTCCTAAATATATACTCAATAGTCTCTCTGTTGAATATATCTACGAAACGTGGTTGACAAAAACATTTTTACTTATTAGGTGCAGTCATTCAGCACTGGTGTATTTATGAGGGGGCATTACAAAGCCTTATGGTAAAGTGTCGAAACCTTTTTATGGACGAAAATACCCGAAGTAAGCACCGCATACCCCCATAAAAAGCATATTACAAACGTTCAGTGAATAAACGGCCTTCCATTGCTTGGGTACTCGCTATATACATTGGGCTACGTAAATAATCAAGCCTGTCTACTATAATTAGCTCTAACTGGACGACCCACCCGCATA